GCGTCGAAATGACGCGTCTCTGGAAAATTTTGTGCAGCACTAGCAGGACCTGATTTTTTGCGCTCTTTCGCGTGGTGTAATCCGTTTTTCCAAATATCATCTACCAAAAAAGTTATCGCAATTTTAAAATCCGGGAATGCTCTTGTTATTTCCTGAAGACGTACGTCCTTGAAAACACAAAAAATGAACCGTGCGCTAAAAAATACTCCCCTACACCAAGTTTCAGCTACTTACGACAAAATAACGAGGAGTTACATCAATTTGAAAGAAAAAAATGACAACTTCGGAAGCGCATAGCTCACTTATGAAGCGTTTTCGGGCATATGTGTATCGGAAGAAATAGTCATATTTTGAGCCGAAAAATCTATACTGAAAGTTAAGTGCGTTAACTTCCGGACACCCTGTACATTAGCTCCTACCCGTCATAGTAATAACGTTTTTATGAATAAATCCAAACTTTAAGCTCATGGAAAAAAGAATAATTTACGTGGGCTGAATTGCACGCTTAACGATACTATGCTGCCGTGCCAAGGAAGAGCGCCGTATGAACCTTCAGGCGTTGCCGAATTTCCTTTGATAAAACACGAATTTCTTGGTAAACTTATGAATATTTTCTTTCCAATTTTTCAGCTAATTTTGTTCGCAATTTCACCCGAATTCCCTGAAAATTTCAAGGAAAAATATCCATAACTTTCCTCAAAAATAAACATATTATCGAAGGAAATTTGGCAACTCTCGAATGTTCATACGGCGTTCTTCCATAGCACGGCAGTATGAGAGTCTCAGCAGTATAAAAATATGGCAACCTCAATCATGACGCTTTGGCTCAGCTATAGCAAGCTGTATGAGCAACACAGGGTGGGAAAGAAACAAAGCTCGATTGAGTAGTCCGCTAAATCCGTTGTAGTGCGCGATTTGACTCGAGTAGGGCATTGTTTTTCTTGAGACCGGGCAAATCAAATTTCCCGTGACCAATGTACAATAAAAACGTTAATATCTGGGTTAGGAGTTGATTTCAGTAGTTTTCGTTGTGCGAATCGTGTTCTACGCAAAATTCTGCTGAATAATCGTGTATCGGAGTGCTTAAATTCGTACCTTGTTTAAGGGTCCATTTTATCTAAAAAAAAAAAGCGAACATAGAGAACTTTCCTGACTTTTCTCGGAAAATACATTTTATCAGGAGAAACGAGGCAACGTTAGAATACTCATATGGCGTCGAAAAACAACATTAGCTTTTAAAGCCCCTATATTCGATGCCGCGATTATTCTAACACGAGTTCGAAATAATCGCGCCAAACACAGTGCGGCCACGGCCAGCGCGGCGTTAGAGAGACGCATATTAAGTAGCGCCTGCAAGACTGAAGGAATACTTCACTCGTTGCATGCACACCACAGTGCGCGCTTTAATCTTTGGGATTTCTCGGTGTCAGAACAGACAGACCTATTTACCACCCGCAGTGCGGTGGACACAATATCCAACCAGTGTATGTACAACGCGAGCCTGCAATCCTCGAATGAAGGTTCGTGGAGATTTTCTTGCCTTCTCAAGCGTATTTTCGTTGCAGTTCGGTCAAACCAAAAGAGGTGGATCAAACGGTTTCGTATTTTATTTTGACGCGATAATAATTTTTCGAAACAACATCGGTACATAGAAAGTGGAATTCTTGCAAACGTGGGAGCCAAAAAATAATCCTACTACCTATAAAAAGTAGGGTTGAGAAATGACCTGATGAGGATAATAGCATCCGACCAGCATCAATTTCGAAACTCCAGCCTCAACTGTTTACTTACCAACCCGATTACGATCTCGCCGCCATTATCGCGGGATTTTGGCTCGACCGACCATCAATGAAAATACGCCTCTGTTGACTTTCCCATAATGGATCACTAGACAGGGTATGAAATTCAGCATTCTGATACATGTTTCTCAGCCAAAATTTTACGTAGAATACGTTGCACACAACGAAAATTACCGAAATCAACTCCTTACGAAGATATTTATTGATTCTTGATGCGTGAATTCAAACCACCCGCTCATGAAAACTCAATGCTCTACGTGATTCACATCGCGCGCTAAACGTTATCATGACAGTCTCTGCGATATAAAAATCTAGCAACCTCAATCTTGACGCTTTGGCTCAGTTATAGCAAATTGCTAATAGTTTGAACAACACATGGTGGGAAATGAACATCGCTCGATTGAGGAGCTTGCTGAAACCGTTGTAGTGGGCGATTTGACTCACGTAGAGCTTTGAGTTTCTTGTGAGCGGGCAGTTCAAATTCCTCGTAACCAATGTGAAATAAAAACGTTAATATTATCGTTAGGAGTTGCTTTCAGTAATTTTCGTTGTGTGAATCTTTTTCTACGTGAAATTCTGGTTAAGAAAGATGGATCAGATCGCTTAAATTCGTACCTTGTCTAGTGGTCCATTAAACACCCTTCATTGCACCTCATCTACCGGTCCTTGAGACGAATCAAACGTGAAAATTCGCCAGTTTTAGTTGCTTCACTGTCTTCATGTTCGATTGGGACGATAGGCTCGTTCTACTGAGCGTTCTACTACAATTTTGATGTTTTCAGTCACGGAGAATCCGTGTGTGAAACGTGGGCGTCCGGCAAGGCGTAGGCATATTTGGACGTATTTCTGCTAAACGGAACTATGTGCATTAAGATATGAGCCCTGAGACCTATAAGAATACATGCATAACAAGGCTCACGTCAGAATGCACACAGTTCCGTTTGGTAGAAATACGTCCATTTCTCACTACCCCTCCGAGCGTCGCATCGAGCGGCGACAAGTCTATCAGTGATAGGGAAATGGACTGGATTTGGCAATTTGGAACTATAAACTCTGGCTCTTCTGGAAAAACACTTGTGTGCATAGAGAAACTAATGGCACATACGTTGTTTTCAAACCAGGCTAGAATCTGTAGTTCCAAATAGCAAAATGTCCAAATGTGACTGAGCCGAGCGTTGGGAAATAATCCGTATGTGCAGGCGTGGATATTTGATTTCATTTACGGCAGGCGTAACGATAGACTCTTCGACCCCGGGTATAGGCATATTGCCGCTAGCCGGATTGAAGGCGTATCATACTGTGAAGGTGGCTCGACCGCGCTACCTTTCCTCGCTTAACTAAGACTACGCGTCCTTTCGCTTGACTATCTCCGGCAGGTTTTTACAGCAATCCGAGGGTAAATACGTAAGTATCTCAATTGCAATGATTCAGAAACTCGGACGGTGTTTAAAAGATGCAGCGATTCTGAAAGTTGATTCGCTTGGAACTAGTTTAGGTTGAATAAAAAGAAAACGGAGCGAACGAAAATATCGCGTCGAAATTTTTTGGGATTTTACTTGAAATCGTTCCGGAAATATCCCGAAAACTCTTCAAAAAAACTGTGCGTAGCTTCTTAAAAAAAACTGATTCTGAATAAAGCATGAGTAGAGATGTGCAACGTTGCAATCAGAGATAGGAACTATTTTCTCCGCGTGCAGGCGTCGATATTTCACAGGTGTAGGCATATTGCCGCTGGCCGGATGGAAGGCACCGATCGTGCGATTACGATAGGAAATTTGAGAAATTGGGAGGGCAAGATCGCAAAACCTGCCTAACGCTAAAATTGTGGTGAAATGCGCATATTTTTCGTAGATTTGCCGAGAAATTTGCGCGTTTTTATTGCAAAATCGTGGCAGTATGTAAATATGACCAAACAAAGGGTCACGGCAATGAAAATTTTGCGGAAAAAGGAGTTTTAAAATGGGAGGGCCAGTTAGAACAAGAAGAGGGCTAAGAACTCGCTGCACCCTTGGTGAATCTGTTCAATGGGACTCTGTTCATGAGTAAAACTGGGGAAGGGGATGTAGAAAGGCATCCCATCAAAGAGGTCTAGAAGCACCCTCTCAATTCCAAAGTGTGGGGAGGGTCGTGGAGTCTCCTCCAAAAAATTTTGGAAAATTGAATCATCATAGGGGGAATTTCGAGCTGTTCTTGCCAAATAATTATTTCCGCTAAACAATCAAAGCTGGAAGATACGCCAAACTTTTTCAGAAAAACCCCTCACATTTTCTAGAGAGGGCCGCTGGTCAAGCACCCCTGCCTCCTCCTGGTTCTGCCCATGCAATTCTAGTTTCCACCAAGCAATCACTTCCTATAAAAGTACAGTAACATCAAATACCAATCTCAGTATAATTTTAACCAACCATCAGTTTGACCTGATCAAGCAACTTCACATCTTAGTTGCACGACTATAATGATAATACGATCTCACACTTTTCAGAGATTTTTGTAAATGATACAGTCAAAAGCTATAAACCAGGGATTCTACTCTTTCTGCAAGTTTTTATTTCCCTGAGTCAAAAGAGAACACCCACAATAAAGTAACCGTAAATTTATCGAGCAGAAGACACTTTCAGCAAAGGTTCTTTTGAGCTCTTCAAAGTAAATTGCTCAGCGTCACATAATAATATCTAACTGAACCGTGGAAAAAAAGTTTTCACGCTTGATTCCCTGAGTTCTCCCTCATATTTTCAGGTCCCTTCAAATTCCTTCAGTTTTTTTGATGCAGATAAACTCTTCTATGGTTCTGTCTGATTGCAATATCTTACTCTATAGTATGGAATCATAAGGGTGCCGTGTCACGCTGAGGGTGTAACGCTAATCATGTCACAAACAGGTTTCACCTCCACTCCCCTTTCCCTTCCTGCCGCGCTAGCTCACATGCTTCCGCCGTCTCCAAACCGGGTTTTCCCTAGCTCTGTAAGATCTTTTTATGATCTCACGATATCTGCATATTAGAGGCGCGAGGCGCCTCTGGGGGGTTGGACCGCGGAGCGGCCAGGGGACGCAGCTCTCTAGTGACTAATAAAATTGCAAAATGACTGGTCAAATTGCGATTTTTAGTGAAGTGAGACACTTGAAAATAATTAGGTTGCCAAGAAAAAAAGTAAAAGCAAGCTATTATATAAGTTAGGAAATAATATGGTTTTGTATGGTACTTACAGTTTTCTGCATTGAAGGTGAGTCTTCATAACAATCATTTGCTATACTTCGAAGATCTTGAAGACTTCCCCAGTGAGCAGGATGAATCAACATGGTAGATCTCAACAAATTGCAACTATTAGACTTTGGTGTATCTTGTCGACTTAAGTTTGAACTTTGGTGCAGCTTCAAATCCTCAAGGCTTTGGGATGTATTGGATGGAATACCAAAAACTTTGGGCGATAGTTTGTACGATAAAAATGCATCTTGACTTTTAGAGCTGCAGGTTCCAAGACTCATGTCATCAGCAGAGCATAAATGGTTGTCTATATTATTGAAAATATAGCTGCCGTCTTGAGACCTTGTTTTTTCCATGGAAATATCCATTTGCTTTACCGTTGTATCAAAAGTGGAGTTTTCTGGTGTCTTACGACTACTTTTCCCACTACTGACACTCATATTTTCTTGAGAGACACGCAAGTTAAATGGATCTTCTGAGCATGTACTGATCGGAGAGCAACTTCGATTACTGGTGGGCGCAACGATAGGGTCTGGCATGGCTCTGACAGTCAGACGCTCTCTGGAAGGATAGTTTGGGCTATCTTCATTAGGTAGAACATGGAGCCTCTGGTTTTGGATATCGACCACGAGAATCCTATCAGATTGATTACCCGAATCGTCGCGAAAGCCAATCCCAGAGTCACTATTGCTAGTTGTTGTGCTATCATGGCTTGGTTGGGGGGAATTGGCGACTGGTTCTTCATCATCAAGACCAGGAGTCTCATAAAATTTCCTGATGATGGCTAAGATGGGATCACTATTTATAGGGTATTCTTGACACAGACCTGAGTTGGTATCAATAGTGCATTCAATTTTGAAAGTGAGCGAACGGAAGTTGTGCTCACTATGTGGTCTTGGATCAACCGCAAAAACATGACAAGAATCTGAAGGATCATCACCAGTGGAAGTCGTAACAACACCAAAGTGCCTACGATCTTCATTCGAACTCGCTCCACAGAATGTCACTCTCTCACCAGGGTAAATGGCCAAAGTTGTGCCGGTGTGGTTTTGCAATTTCAGACTGCGAGTGAAGAGAGTCATTAGCACGGCAGTGTGGGTTCTCTTCTCAGCGCGTAACCTTTTAATACACCCTCGAACAATCTAAAAAGGAAGACAAATACATAAATGGACAGGATATCTAAAAGTTAGAAGCATCAAAGTAAATTACACTTAGGACGATTTGAGGAAAATTGATTAGAGGCTTGGAAAAAGAGATGATAGGTTGAAGAAACACTTTCGGTATCAATAATGTTAACCATGAATTACGAAAAACTTACCCATGCCTAAAAAAGAGATACTTTAAAATTGCAGAAAATTAAATATGATCTAATAATTTACTAGACTCATCTGAGGGCCCATATTTCATTCAATTCTTCTGGCAAACTCATGGAGGTGTCGTGTCATTTGCTTCAGAAACTTCAGGGTTTCTACAAGATTTTCAAAATGAAGTTCTCTGACTTTTCTAGGTTTTCCTTGATAATACAGGACAAAATACCTTGCCTCGTCAGGTTTCAGCCGTGTGATGAGCGAACTGGACAAAATTTAAAACCTATCCACAGGTTTAAAAAGTAGTTCCCGTAAAGTCATAATCTCATCATATTCTCAACAGACTGATTTTGTGACTAATTGTAAGCCATTCGATATGATATCTAACTCAGTCATTGAAACCGAAACAAATGCCCAAGCTTCATGTACTTGAGTGAGTTGAATGTATTAATTTATCACAGTTTAGTCATTGCCAGGTCATAAATCAGTCAAGAACTCAGTAAACACAAGAAATTTCAATTGCAAGAAATACTTAGATACGTCTTACCCCCATGCCAAGAATCACAGACAAGGTTATATGTTTGTTCAAAATTGAACCATGATGAATGAAGACATCAAATAAGTCTATTACTATGGCGTTGGAGGGTGCGGCATTCAGGAGTTGAGGAGTGATACCACATCCCCACTCCTGAGTTCGAATAGTTGCCCGCCTGGTGCCCACTCGGACCATCATTAATCCATAAAACATTTTTATGCAAATTTCCGTGAACATTAAAAAAATATGCAATTCTCCCAGCAGTTTTTTTTTATCAGGGTGTTGACAAGATTTTCAAAATGAAATTTCCTGATTTTTCAGGTTTCAGCCATATAATGAGCACATCAGAAAAAATATAAAACTATCCTTAGGAGTGAGAAGTAGTCCCCGTACAGTCATATTCTATATCATTATGGTGTCAGAAGATACGGCATGAAGGAATTGTATCAGCAACCTGAGGGCATTAGTCCACAGATTTGGCAGTTTTGACCGAAAAAAGCAGAGAAATGTTCAAATCCCAGAAAAATCTTGACTTAACTGAAGTTCTTAGAGAATCCCCTGATTTTTCCCGGTTTTTCAAGCAGTGCTTCAATTTCCTAAATTTTCTAGTTCTGTGGACACCCTGGAAACAGTTAAAAGATACTCTCAGGATTTTCTTCTCCTTCCTATTCCCTTCAAGTTAGATAACTCTATCTATCGATAAAAATACTTGCATGAGTTTCTAAATTATTTTTTCTTTTTAATTTTAACTGATACTACAAGAGTGATTAGGAAAGATTAAAATATAGAGAATATAATAAAGGTAGCTTTGTTTGTATTTCCTTACCTGAAGACGTGAACCAGGTGGCAGTTTCCTTGGCATTTCGATAGTTCCTAAATACCCAACTATGGCTCTGAATAGTTCTTGCTCATATTCTTCACCGTTCATTCTGTTAATGGATGGTTCTGAGAAGTAGAGGCGTGGTAAGGGTGGCAAAAGGTGTGCTGGAGCCTTCCATTTGATAAGTTTGTGGGGAGATTTACTTGAACATCTAGGAGTAGAATTTGACATACACATTGACACTTCTACTAGTGATTCATCAAACATTGCACCCGTAGTAAGATCTCTGACTACTTTGGCCACTCGATTCTGGCTTGCAGCTCCAGATCGCGGAGAATTCTTCAATTTGTGTGGATACTTTGGTTTATGACGGATTGCTACCATATCTTCATCTGAACTATCCGAGTAATAATTCTCAGCAATTTGAAGCTTTAAAATGCCGGATGTGTTCCCAATCAATTGCACTACATCATTGTGTTTCATTTTACTGACACTGTGACCTCCAACGGCAACTAGGTAATCGCCTGCTCTGAGGCCAGAATTTTCAGCAGGACTTCCTGGCACAATGCAGCTGAGAATGCATGGCTGTTGACCTGAGATGGTAAAACCAAAGCCATTCTTACCTCTCTGCACATCAACAGTTCTGACCCCATAGTTAGGGCGTTTTTTGCGTCGTCTCACAGGGTGCATTATGGCTTATCCAAGTTTCACTGACGTCTGCTGTAATTGCAGGTGACAAAATAGAACAAGTCAAGTTTACGAATGCACTATTTCAAATTATTAAGAAGACTCAAGCCATTTTCATTGGGAGTGTACTGTTCACTTCTGGTGCCAACTTTGCTGGGACCTCTGCCGAAGGGCACAACACAAGTTCAGATGACCTACACTCTGCGATTTAGACATATTGACTAAACGTCAATAGTTACGGCTGGAAACTGGGAAGCAAAAAGGCTGGAATCGGTATCAGTAATCTGTTGCATGATTAGCATTGTGAATCTACTTAAGTATTTGATGTGAATTGTGATTACTCGATGTCTTATGATGCTAAATATTTTCTTTGGAGACAATCCACTGATGAACTGACAAAATCATCAAACTAATCTGATACAATCACTGTTCAGTTGATGAAAATTCTCGGGAAAATCAAAATATTTATTGGAGGTGGTCTAACTGCAGGATGATGAGATTATAATCCGGAGCAATTACACAATTTGAAATATGACACTTGAAGAACACGGAAACACTGTCACACACACGAAGTCGTTCTCAAAATTCACGAATTACCGCGACGAAAGAAATTCTGGAACGATACTCGACTTACACACCACGAACAATGGAAATTTCTAAATTGGTATTTGCACAGCCTATGGGTAAATTCCTTCCTCGTTCCAAATTATCCACAATCCTCATCAACTAACTTGTTCATAAACAACTAACTGCTTCAGCCATTTTGAAATTACTATAGGCGAAGAAAAAGGTAAGAGGGGGCAATGGACATTGAAAGTTGATACTGGTGATGGAAGAATACCAAATTCAAAACCGTTATAACCTCAACTTCATCTAGACAAAAATGACAAAAAGCCCTTTTAACGGCTGGATTGGGTGATTTTTTCGATGAATCCTCTAAGTTTTTCGTACATGTGTTTGTGATCTTTTAAATTAATTTATTTTATTATTTTCTAGCGCCACCAAATCCTTTCATCTATCTACATGAAAATACGAAATTTAGTTACCGCGCCTCGCTAGCGCTACTCGCTTACGCTTGGTGGTTGCTCTCTGCATCGAAGGAACTCTCTGTGAAAAAGCGGCCATTGTGGAAGCTTGCATCTTCTTGTTATTGATGTTTATACCAAAGTTCCGATTAGCGTCACCCGGCCTTATTTTATTTTAATATTTGGTGTTGATTTTACAAAATGTTAGCTTTTGGACCCAAGAAGGATGGTGGTCCAAACATCAAGTTTTACGAATCTCCAGAGACTGTCGCTGCATTTGACGGGATTCGATCATGGTTGCAGAAAAACTACAAGAAGGTAAGCCTACCAGCTTTCCTATCCCAACTCATGGGCAATTTTTTCGTTAGTAATTCATATTCTGAAGGAACGGAATTCCATAGAATTGTGTTCTCTCATTAGTCAAGAAAACGGAATGCCTTGGAGACCACATAATTTCAAGTTTCTTGTAAATTGAACCTTCTCATCGCTGGAGCGATGATCTTGTCTGATACCACTGTAGAGCTGTCAATAAATACGACTTGTTTAACCCCCTGGATCATTGTTTCTTATTCATTCAATTCAACTTTCTTTCTTTTTATTTATCTTTTCCTTCATTACTTTCACCACTGCACTTAGCTCCAAATGCATCACATAATTCAACAGAGGCAATAAGTCTTGTCTTATCAATTTTGTATGAAAGAGCAAATGGACAGTTGCTACAATGTTGTTCACACTAAGTACATAATATTTGAGAGTTGTAACTCAACAGTATCCTAGGCCCAGTGATATGATGCAGGTATCAATGCAGTAACATATTATTTTGTGTGTCTAAGCCTACTTTCTCTGGCCCAATGGTTTCACGGTGAAACTTTTATTAGCTCAATGTTTCAACAAATTTTAGTATTTATAATCATTTTTCTAATTACAGTACACCCAAAATGACCCGCCAACCAATAAATCTCTATCAACCCTTGTAACGCAGTTAATTCAGTTCCAAGAAGACAATCTGGGAAAAGATGTCACCAAACCATCTCTCACCCGACTTCCTGTAAGTACCATTCTTATTGCTGCATTTGAGCCCAGCTAAATTTTGCTAATTCATTATATCCTCACCTTCCGGCCAGTGCATCTTTAGTGCGATGCGAGGGTTATAAGTTTCCGCTGCCATTTCATTTTTTTTTACAGAGAAATTGCCGGTTGAATCTGTTTGTCGTCTGTCTGTTGAACCGAACTTTATTGGCAGCATAACAAAAAAAAACACTGAAATTTTTTGACAGCTTCATTGAACAATTGCTCTGAAAAAAACAAAATGGCCGCGGAATTTTTTATTTGTCGCATGGCGATTGTGATACTTTGGCCGAAAGGTGACAACATACGTGCTGAGGTTATGGTGACGAAATTACAACTGATCCTAGTGGTGCAGATATTTTTCACAAACGCCAAGGCATCATAATTTTTATCTTTCAATTCATTTAAATCAACAGTATTTTGCATGAACACTTCTCCTTTGGGTATGTAACTGTGAACATGTTAATTCCTACAAAGTAAAAAGGATTCTTACTCTCAGCTGAAAAGCGGCAAACACTATTCTGTCAATCCTCTGAGGGTGCCTCAAGGCACAGCAGTATAGCTTGACAAAGGAATCCTCCATACATGAGGACCTTATGGACCCAACAGCATATACCCATGTCAAGAATGCAATGATTGTGCACACATTCAGATGTTTAGTTGGTGAGAATATGTATGCTGCGTTCCGAAAGAGCTTGATGCAATAACGGCTTTTTTCGCCTCCCCTCTGGAATTTCTTCAGACTTTGTCTATCGATTACTCATCCTTGAGCGCTTCTTTCCCCAAATTTTCAGACCCCAAAAAATGTTGGGGGGGTGGAAGGCAAAATCTGTGAACCTTGATATCTTGCAAACGAAGAAAGATATCGAGTCCCGGTTCTGACAAAAAATCGTCTTAAATTGCATTCTTTATGATTTAGTAGGTCAAAATCCCGAAATCACATTTTTCAGTTAACATAGGTGCTTTTTCCCAGTTTTTCGGTCTAGAAAATTTCTTTTAAACCAAGAGCTTTCAAAGATCTCAATTTTTTTTATTTGAACCAAAACCAGTTTTTTAAATTGTTCTTATTTTTCTGCATCCAATGAGTGGTCCATTAAGTAAGCTAGGGAACCAAACGGTTCCGGAGTTATGAGCAATTGAAGTTTCCGCTCAATGCCCGCTGACCGATTTTTGCAAGCAAGAAAGCCAGATGTGACTGTTATTAAATCAGATTAATGTTCAAACCGTGTAAAATTCATTTTTAGGGACTCTTGAGGGTAGCTGAGTTCAGAAATTACTGATACTTCCAAGAAATTCACTGTTTTAAAATTACTGCTCCAAAGCGCTATTTTAGAGGCCCACTGAGCGCCGACCGGCTGCTCAGTGGGCCGCTATAAGCTGTAATTTTATATTTGATTAATTATAGATTTTGAATACTTGAAAAGAAAAAAAGAGGAAGAGTTGTTCAATTTAAGCGATGTTGACACGGGTATATGCTGTCTGGTAAAAAAGATCCTCATATAACTGTACATTTTTAGCAAAACCCAGAGATTTGAAGAGAAACTCCCTAAACATACAGATAAGGACAGCTCAATTCAAAATACTTAATCTTCCCATAACTTATGCGGAAGATGCACACACATTTCATTCACATAAGTGTGGAATTCTTCCAATTTATTTCCACCGAACAATACTCCTTAACGCAACAATGAGCTGATACCAAGAGTGTAGAAAATGAGCAAGTACCTACTTGTGCAAAGCACAAAAAATAATAAAATAAAAAAAAAACAGAATAGAATTGTTCATTTGTTTAAAAAAAGTTTAAAGCCCAATTTCTCAAGCCTTTGGAAGTGCAATTTTCTAATCAGGAATGTTCCCATGAGGGCCTAATATCTCATTAGTTCACATTAAATATCTTGATTCCTAAAACATGTGCAAGTTTCTGAGTAAAATCATTTTGCAATTTTTCTTTTCAGATGCGTTTGTTTTTGGATTTTAAGCCTGGAGGAGCTTTATCTCACATTCTGGCAACTGTTTATAAATTCAAGAGTGACCAGGGTTGGCGAAGGTTTGATTTTCAGGTATGGATATTCAGCTTTGTAAAGAAAAAAGTCCTCTCTATTTATAATAGCCCTAAAAATGTACATCAAAGATGAGATATTCTTTTTTGTAAGAGGGAAAAGTGGTACCTTTTCAGATCTCAAAAAAATCAGCATTATGTCAATGTCAAGTTTTTAATCTTTTCTGAGTCTGAGCTTGAGGATATGAAACCTTGGGTTTGATCACAGTACGACGATTTTCTAAAGCTGTAAGCAGCTGCCATCATGCAAAATTGAATTAAAGCGAATGGAACTTCTGTAAAGCACCGCTCTTGGCGTTAACAGACTTGGAATATAAATTTTTTTTTGTAAAGTGACATTTCAGTTCATTTTGTGCAGTTATTTCCCTCGTGGCTAATGCACAGGTCCCCCAAGATTTTAATAGCACTTGAACAATAGGTGAAGAAAAAAGAACTTTGATAAAATCTTTTTTAGCAATAATATGTTGTGACTCTTAAACTCTCTCCATCAGTTTTAATAATTGATTTTTTACGCAGAATCCATCAAAACAGGAACGGAATCTTGAAATGTTCACAAAAGTTGAGAAAGCGCTAATCGATAACAAATTCCTCAGCTTGCCCAACGTCTTCATAAAACCAGAAGTTGACAAACCCATTCAGTCTAGAGTGAAGGAAATAATCAAGAAGCATCAGGGAACAATAACTGGTATTACATTTGTTTTCATTCCTTCTTTCTTTTCTTGTGTATTATAGATAAGTAATCGCACCTGTCAAAGAATTTCATGTGATAGAAGCGCTCAGTAATCATACAACATTTATCACATAAACACCGCTACATCATTTCAATGTGTCTGTAGTTGGCTGTAGGCCCCAAAGGAATATAAGCCATTGAACCAACAGAAAAAAAATAGTACAATAGAGTCTCAGTGTACTAGTGCACCAATGAAGTCAATCCTAGAACGATGCATTTCTAACCTCTTGTTTGCTGAAAGTGTAAACCGAGCATCATTTTCAGAATGGAAACCTTATAGCTTATGGAAGAATCGAGGGCTGTTAGTGGTTTCTGGGAATTATTAATGTACTATCCAAATATGCACCAAACCCCCGGTTTTCATTTATGAAATGAATTTTTTATCTGTATTTTCTGAGTGAAATACAGAGCTGGGCTCCTATGCATACAGCATCACCAGTTGCTGCTCACTAGTCTTAGGAGTACTGGACAAAACAGCCTCAAAAAGTGACTTCATCGGCGCTCTGGTACATTGCGACTTTATCGTACTGTATGGATAAAAGAGCCCTTATTTTTGGAAGAGTAAGAGACGGCTTGAAAATTTGCTGGAAACCTTCCTCACAGACTGCAAACATCCAAACTGCAATACAGTAAAACTTCGATATATCGAACGTCGATGTAATGAATTCTTCGAATTAACGAATTGTTTTCCCCGTCCCAAAAAAATCCCTATCTTTTAAATGCAAAATAAATTCTATACAACGAATTTCGGTATAATGAATATTCGCTTTTACGAAGGAAATCTTCGGTCCGAGTACGAACTTTACTATGTAAATCGAACTCGAATTAACGAATGCACGGGAATTTCCAAGCGCCCGGCAAGACCGCTGGGGGAAAGCATGCTTGTCTTCACCTGCGTATTGTGCGTCGGTGTCGGTGCAAAGGTCATTTTCCAATACGGCAGAATTGGGAATTTCCGAGGCGCACATGTTTCCTCGAGTAAAGGGGATGATTAAGGAGCTATGTGAACAGTGTCATCAGTAAGATTTCAACCCCTGCTGTGTGCTCCTCACTACCGCTGCGCAGTTTTACTAATCAAGTGCTAACCGGGTGTTTCCCGCCGATTTTTCATGAAGTATCACCATGGTTTAAGAGGGGGGGGGGTACACAAAACTGGAAAAAACCGAACATTTCAAAAAAAATTGCGGCCTAAAATCGGGTTTTCCGCGGTTTTCGATTTAAGGAATTTTTTCGCCAGTCCCCAGAAATTTGTTGTATCAAAGTTTTACTATAGTCGCTTTTTTTGTTACACATTGATTACTGAAGTCAAAAAATGCATATTTCCATTGCAATTTGCAATGTTCAAAAATTTATGATTTTTTTTCATTTCTTTGGAAGAAAGAAAATGGAAACATCTCCTTGAAAACTGTTTATCAGTATTACATATTTATAAAAAAAAAATTGCAGAGATTTTCAAAATTGCAATCGTAGGTATACATTTTTAGACTGTAGCAATCAACATATAACTCACTCACCATTGTCTGAAATGTACGGCTCCAAGAAAACGGAGGTTTCGTTCTTGATTCATTCTGAAGATAATGCATTTTAGATTTATATATTTTGCTTTTTATTCACTGTCTGAATTTTATTTGATTCTAATAATATACACTCATACTCTACGACTTTTACGACCCGAGCGTAGAACAGAATAGCTTTTTTATTCTAAATGCAAGGTAGCACTGTTGGCCATTGATACTGTCTCCGTCAAAGGGAACATCCTAATCAAGGAGAACTCAAAGATTACAATGCAGATGACCCCCATGATAAAACCTAACCTGTCAATTGAAATTACTTTTGCCTTGTATGGCAAGGTCATTGTATGGGTTGACTCACTTGAGAGTAGATTTTACCCAGACTCGACTCTCACTGAGCTCAGCTCTCATCGCCTAACTTTTTTGATAAATCTTTTAGTTTTCATATTCTAAATTCACAAATTTTCCTTTGCAGAAAATGAAGAGGAGGCTAGTCATATAATTTTCCCGGTCACTGATCCACTAGATGAAGAGTATGCTCGTCCAACAGTGAAACGAGATCGAATGGTCCTTATGCATTGGTATTATTTCCCAGACTCTCATGATTCTTGGTTACCAGCATCTGATCTCCCAATTGACGCACCAGAAACTCCACCGTCTCACACAGGAGTTTGGAGGGTGAGTATTACAGGCACCTCTGGGTTTTGTAAAGGAAATGAAAGAAACTTGTACGTTTGAGTAAAAGTTAGTCTCTCCTAGGATGCTCCCAAGAGACACTTTGCCTTTCCAAGTTGCACAATAGCTGGGTCAGAATAGAAAGTCGAGCAAAAAAAATTCTCTCCTAAACTTGGATGTTTCTTCATTCGCCTGAGACACCTGTGTCAGGAAGGTCTCAAGCAATAGTTGTCCGAAGATTTTCCACCAAACGACATCAAGCTAACCCATAGAGTCAATCACTGAGCAATCCCCTCCAAATATTATACCTACCTTTGCGCCTGCAAAAATACTTTTAGCGCATAATCATTCATGTGCTCGACAACAGAGGACCATGCAGTAATGACATTTTCTCATTTTCTCTCAAAGACATTATAGCTTATACCCAGTGCTGTTCCCTATCTTCCCGTGCTTGCGCGCAGTGGCCGTTTTCCCGGTCGCTGCATGATAGACCGGGTTTCAGGGCTCCACTACGCTGCCTCATGGGGAACGCGTGTTTTGCATTGGTTTCTTGCTTGTAACTCTAAACTTCTTCAACTTACACTAAAATAAAACAGACTCAAAAAAATTCCTGTGACCAAAAAATGGAGTTTTACTAAAAGCCGCGGCAAAAATTCTTACGATTGGTGATCTTTTTTCCTCATTTTCCCTAAAAACTGTCGATCTTAGGGGAAAATGTCTAAGGATATATCTGAAAGGCTGTAACATTTCCTATCAATTTATTCCACAAAATTTTCGAAAAAATAATTTCTGAAGTCAAAAATATGGGTTTTCAAAACGGTCGAGGCAAAAATTCTTACAATCAGTGACCTTTTTTCTCATTTCTCTTTCAAACCGTTGACTTTAGAGGAAAATTTAAAAGGACCTTTTTATAAGAGTGTAAAATTCACTATCAGCTTATTACAAAACAATTCTAAAAATCTGTAAATCTTCACGCCGGAACTTGACAAGAACACATTCAGATAAGGCTTGTCTAGCACCAGGTAGAGCCCTGATGCAAATTCGGGGGCTCCAGCGCGTCACCGGCGACAGATGACTGTTGCCGAATTCAGTAAAAAGAGCCACCACGTGGTCCAGGTACCCACTGTCTATAAGTTATAATGTCTTTGTTTTCTCTACACATTTCAAGCTTGTGGTTATAATCCCTCTCTGAACTTACTTTTTTAGGTTTCTGCATCATGGGTGTTGGATTTGGATCAGTATAACGAGTGGATGGCTGAAGAAGATTATGAAGTGGATGAAAACGGCAAGAAGAAAGTCCATCGGGTAAGTCGGGAGAAGTCCTCAGTCAAGTTTGTTTTTTGAGGAATGGTATACATTTTTCAAAGGTGCTTCTGATAATAATGTTTTTAAATTTGTCAGTGTAGTATTCCAATCAAAAATACATTCTCTTTGATATTATGCAAATAACATCTATGTGATGGTACAGTTCAAGATTTTATGATGAATGCCCGGATCAGTACCACAACATTCTTGCTCCTCAGATGGTGATCACCAGGGTATTTCATGCTCCTCATTGGTATTTACGTCCCCCATAGAGTTTTACCTGTGTATGTATTGTCTTTGATAATTGTATTAAACAGTCCAGAATTGAAAATGAAGTGCCCAATTTTATCGTACCACTCTGTGTAGATTTTAACTCTTGGATACTAAAGTTATAATCTAGGCGATATGTAATCAAGCACTCTGCTCAGGATTAAAAAAACCACATGAAACTTCATCACAAAGTTTTGCCACAACATACGGAGTAGAGGATGGTTTTATTTCAGCAAAATCATGTTGCTTTTTTTATTTTCATGAGCATGTTTATCATAAATGTAACTTATCATTTTGATTCAGTTACGATTATCAGTAGAAGACCTGATGGGCGGAGGAGGAGACCCTGACAAAGCAAAGAAGAAACACAAAAGGAAAAGATCTCCATCACCACCACCCAAGCAACTGGGGAAAAGGAAAAGGTAGCTATTTTTCTGTCTTCCTTCAAATGTTCCGATTTTCCTTAAACCATTGACTTTTCTCTCAAGGAGAACATAAATTCTCCAAACCAAGTAGGTTGGAGAGTTACTCCTACATACCTTTTAAGTAAGTTTATCAAACCTCTGCTACGTTCGAGGGAAACGCAACCATTATTAATTGACAAGGCAAGTGATCAGTTGCAAAATCTTGTTTTACCTATGTGTATTTGGCTTTATTAAAAGTGTGTGATGCTTCCTCAAGAGAGGGCGTACGTTCAATAGTGATGTTGTAAATTTCTGCTCATCGTTTAAGTTTTCAAAGACAAATCATTGAAGATGCATGAGTGAACATTTTATTAATTTTCTTTGCCTTATCAATTAAATTCTGGAAGATTTTAGTACACGATTTTTCTTGAAGAGAAAAAATTGGAGAAGCGAAATTTTATACTCATTTGATGTATTTTAAAAGCCAACAGGACTTTCGAATTACCCAGGACATATAAAGGCTGTAAAAAACAGCAATTTTTTCACTTTGGCACTTCAACTTTTGCACACCAATGAAAAAGCTACTTAGGAGACGTGAAGACTAACAAAAGCAAGACCGGAACATTCTCATCCAAAATTGCTGCATATTGGAATTATTTATGCTTGAGAGCGTTACCCAGCAACAAAATCATGGCGTACCATAATTTGCTGCTTCTTCCATCTGCATTCCTTTTATGATTTCCATTTTTTACTTTGCTTCTAGTAACTTATTAATCCCATTTTGTCTCATGTTTTTATTCTCAGTTCTAGCAAAAAACCCAGAGGGGATGAAGATGGCGATGATTTGACAAAAGATATGCCTGAGCCAACTCCAGAGCCAAACATAGCTGAAGTCTCTGTTCCTAAACAAGGTAAAAACTTGTAGGTAAAATATTTCAAAAGAGATGAGCTCAATTCTTAAATGAGTCTCTGAGGAAAACGCCCTAAACAACCTTAGTGCGCATGTTTTCTCTGCCCTAAAAATTAGTGCCTTCATAATGAATGAATAAAATGTATGTTAGAGAGTTTTGTGTATATGCAAAGGTAACTATTGTAAATATGCATAAGATTGCACTTGTGAACACCCCCCCCCTTTTTAAATCCCACCAGGATAAAAATGAAGTAAATTATTCACCTGTAAACTATTTATTTTTTTTACGGAATATTAGAAGTCAGTAGGGATAAAATTTTAAAGTTCTTCTCTGAGCACTTCCGTTGCAATGTTTTCTCATAATGTAATCTCTCATCTTTTCTCTTACACATATCATAATTGAAATAAAAGGATGTAGATGTTACTTAGTAGACTGTGTTTTTGTGTGTGTAAAAACTCCCTGTAATATGCTTTGATTTTTCTTTAAGGTGTGTCATCTAAAAAGGACAGTGACTCGCAGCCTTTGAAAACAGGAACTCTAGCTGATCTGGATGAAGATATGGATAAAGGAGAAGACAGTGAAATGGGCAAAATGTCTGATACTACTACTCAGGTGTGTGCATTTTTTTAGTTGATTCATTCTCTACAACTACAATTCTCTATCTCTCTTCTCATTCTCTATCGCTTCACCATGATTTTCCTATCTCCAGAAAAATTAGAGAACAGAGTCCGAGTGTAACTCAGCAATTATTGTAATGTCGCAGTTTGCAGCTTGTTATTGCAGCATCAAAGCGCTGTTTTTCACTTTAGTCTTGTTTAGGCACACTTATAATAATATTTCTCTCTCTGCACATCTGATTCATCTGGCCCATCACACCATGAAGCCAATGAAAGCCATGCTGCTTTTCTGCCAGGTCTTTTTTTTAGTATTTGTTTTTGCAGGCTCATAGCATATCACTGAAAAATATGGAGGTTGCCGGAGCGAAGGCACATACATCGTGGATGGCGGTCTTGATGGTGTTATACTCAGTGTACCTCTTGTCCTAAGCGCGAAATGGGGAGATTTTTCTCGCGCAAAAAAGTACTATCCGGATCCAGTATTATCCGGTATCCGGATACAAAAAATCGATATCCGGATCCAGTGACACGGAAAATCCATTTTGGTCCAACTCTATTCTTTTTACTTTCTACCCTAGGGTAGAGGAAGTATTGTCATCCTGCAAGGGGGGGGGGAGTTGAAATTTCATCATTTTTTTTTCTAGTAATTAACATCACTAAGTAAAGTCGTATTTTGTTCGCCGCAACAATTGTTTCCTGTTACCGATTTTGTGTTATTTGCGTCACTTTTTCACAACAAATGAGAGCGAAGCAGCTAGAAGTGAGGTTAGAAATCTTGTTAACAAATTTACACAACAGTCGTAACAAAGCTCTGAGGACGTTCTGATTGTTTCGAAACAATGTCGCAAAACACTGCCAAATTGTGCAAAATAATGAAACGAATAAAAATAGGCCACGCCCCTGAACATAAATAACATTCGAACAAAATACGACTGTTACGAGATGTTCCGAGTTGTTTCGTCGAACAAAATACGACTAAAGGGTCATGATTATGCAACTACAAAGATATTATTGTTTAGATACCGAAAAATATTATTTTATTTTTCATTATGGTATGGCACATAACTACAACAAATAAAATGAAAGATGTGTTTACACAATCCTTGAATTTCAAGTTACATTTACTTAATAATCTATTTCCCCNAGCCCCTTAAATGGTATTTTCAAATCTTCAATTCTCCAAATTATGTATTCTCATTTTTCAGGATACAACTGTAAAGGATGAAGGGCAAGAAGATAATGTCACTGAACAGACACACCACATAATTATTCCAAGCTATTCTGCATGGTTTGATTACAACTCAATTCACTCAATTGAGAAGAGAGCTCTGCCCGAATTTTTCAATGGTAGGTCCTGTACTTTTTTCTGAATGTTTAATTTAGATTTTTTAGTCTCCTCGATTAAATGGACACATTTTTAAAAATGATGATAGCACATTTTCCTCCTAATTTTTGGCTTTAGTGGCCCCAAATTTTTATCGTAACAGAACAACCATAACTCCCTAAATTTTTGAAAAACTTGATACTGTCAGGGCGTGTCCTGCCTAAAACCAATAGAGGCTCTTTTGATGAAGCCAAGAAGCTAGTGAGCTATGAGGGAAGTTGACTCTTATGGTCAATGAACTTAAACCTCACAACTTAATCACATGCTCTATCACACTGGGTACATATACTATTCTATGTGTATTTTTTTGATACTTTATCTTCGTAAAATATTGAATCCTTATAATCTCCCTGCAGTCGGTTTTGTGGACGGACTGGAACTTGATGATCTAACCTTCCCTGTTGATCCGGAGCCTAGCTTTTAAAGAAACCAATACGACTGAGATTTCATGGAAGAAGAGTAATGGCCTTTTTCAGCCAGCTGTTTGGTGTTTCCTCCACGAACATTTTCATTTGTTTCACGTGCCTTTCTCTTTTTACAGGGAAGAACAAATCAAAAACTCCTGAAATCTATCTAGCATACAGAAACTTTATGATTGACACTTACCGCCTCAATCCTACCGAGTACATAACTAGCACTGCATCAAGAAGAAATTTAGCTGGTGATGTTTGCTCAATCATGAGAGTTCATGCATTTTTAGAGCAATGGGGACTCATCAACTATCAAGTAAGCCCTTTGTTCGAACACACTGTAGCATGTTGACTCCCATGGATTTCTAGCCAATGTAGGCCGATTGGATGAACGATTGTGCCATGGCTTTAGCGACCTCTATCAGCATTAATCACTTGCATCATTAATATCATTATTTCGATTTACAGCTTTTGTCAAGTTAGTTTGCCAACCTGTAGATCGAAACAAGACCACTCTTAATGTGGTCTTGTCTGGCTCGCATCTGGTTAATTTTAAAAACTAAGTTTCTAAAAATGTGAATTAAGTAAGTACCCGTCTCTGTTTCATGATTGGCATTGTACTCAATCGGAGATAATGGAGCTCTTGCATGTGTAAGGGATTTGCAATTTAAGTATTTTTTTACATAAAATTTTGCAAGAAATACGATGATGTCACTGGTTTTTGTCCAAAATCAACTCCAAAGCTCAAAAGTAGCTCTCAAAATTGAGGCCGTGATGGAGGGGCTTTCCCACGCTACCTTGAGAGTCCACCTCTATATCAAGACAAACTATCCATGCCAAGATAGGGAGCAAATACATTAGCAGGGTTGCTGTCATTTCAGTGTTGGAGTCCCGAAATAAAGTGGCAACCATGTTAATGTATGTGCTCCCTATCTTTGCATAGAGAGTTGGTCTTGATATAGATGTGGGCTTTCATGGCAGAGTGGGATATCTCCTCCATTACGGTCTTAACTTTGAGAGCTTTTCTTGAGCTTGCGAGTTGATTTCAGAGAAAACCAGTGGCCCTATAGTGTCTCTTGCAAAATTTTACATAGGAACCACTTCAAATTCCTGACATTTGCAAGAGTTCCATTAAAATCGGAAGTTTTCATGAAACAAGTCAACGCATGAACCTTTTTCTCAAAATCAAAGTCAACTAAAGTCACCCTAAGGCAAAACTTGTTAAGAAGAATATTACAATAACAGTACAAGTGTTCAATTTTATCATTTTTTGTGAAGCTTGCAAAATTTCAATATATATGAGCTATGACGAGACTCTCAACACTAATAGAAAAAGGGGTGAATCACTAGGTAGCGGTGGTTCAAACCATGGTTGGAAACTAAAGAAAAAAAAGGTGAAATTGGATGGCTTTATGTGGCCTCCCAGTCACTACAACTCGCAACATATTGAAAAAAGGTACAAAAAGTGCCATCCCAGAGGGTGGCTTCAACAGTGAATACTCACATATCTAAGATCGAAACGCGGCACGCGTCAAGAACATAATGTAACAGCTAAGAGCAAACTCAGACTGGTTGTGGTTCCAACTGCCTCCGGCAGGGTATGGGCTAAGGTAGTCCGAGCTGCCAATCTGTTTGAATTTTAATTTGGGGCGAAAAGGTTTGCTGCCGGCAAAACGTTATGTATAATCTTTATTTTTAGGTGGATGCTGAAAGCCGTCCAACACCAATGGGTCCTCCTCCAACCTCTCACTTCCACGTTCTCTCAGATACACCCTCAGGTCTTCAGCCAGTCAACCCTCCGAAAACACCGCAGCCTTCTGCTGCTAAAACGTTACTTGACCTAGAGAAGAAACCAGAAGCAACGCCCATCTCCAAACTTGAAACAGATCCCAACTTTGGACTCAGAGTAGATCAGTAAGTTCATCGATTTGATACATAATATACGAATGTTGTCTAACCAGTTGATACTGTTTGGTTTCTCAAAACCAATAACTAAATTTATTTTATCTGTGTTCAGTGCTATATTTGCCGTATTCTCAAAGTATATTTTAAAATTTATCAAAAATGGATCATAAACATAAATGTTTAATTTTTTTAACATGGTAATTGTGTTTGGTGTCTTATTGTCCGCTAAACTAAAAAACATTCTAAAATACTTAAAAACCGCAGTTGGTTTGGCATCAGTAATTGTAGTATGGGTGCTGAAATATTTATAATTAGTATTTTATATTTTACCATGAGCTAATTGGCTTTATCATCTATGATAGATGTAAGCAGTATATGGTAATTTGTTACAGTAAGAGGTCGATTCACTAGATTTTGCGATTTATCAGATTTTTTTCCAGGTGCTCCTGCCATTTTCCCATGAAAACAATGTTACTCCTCAAAATTCACCAGATTTTGATTTTCCGTATATCTCCATCAACTGGATTTTTTTGGTGGTCCCAAGGTGGGATTTCAACTCAAACTTAAGGATGGTTATTAACTTATTACAGGAAATGTAAACTTTCAAGTTTTCAAAACCTCTGAAAAAAAACTGTATTTCAATCAAGTTTAAATTCTAACATAGTACATGATTGCCCAGATACTCCAGAACTGGGAGGCTCTCACATTTTGACAATATTTTTTTTTTTTTTGCTAAAGATGGACACTTACCTTCTGTTTTTAAGGTATGTAAGGAAACCTGGGGTCATGAAGAATAAAACTGCGGCCAGTCTTACGAGAGAGTGGACAGAGCAAGAAACACTGCTTTTGCTTGAAGCACTCGAGCTTTACAAGGATGACTGGAACAAAGTCTGCGAACATGTAGGAACAAGAACTCAAGACGAGTGCATTCTGCATTTCCTACGACTCCCAATCGAGGATCCCTACCTCGAAGACCCTGAAGCCGGTAAGTATCTTTCCTTTGGAGAATTCCTCATGTCTTCTTCAGGGTAACATCCTCTTGAGAAGTCAAGAGAGCTTGAAAAAATCAGTTAAGTTTACTTAACTGTGTAAAATCAAAGGCTTTTTGCAAAGGAATTTTGAACTTCCTTTTTTCTATCGACAGAGCTAAAATTGCACTCCAAATGTGTCTTGTGGAAAACACCTTTGAAACCCAACATCCTCAACAAGTCAGGAAATTCTAGAATTGAAAGAAACTTGTTACTCTGCTTGCTTATGTAAGAATTTTGTGTCATCCAAGTTTCTCATGAATTTTTACTTTCTCGCTCCCCTAGGGTAGAGGAAGTATTGTCATCCTCTAAGAAAGAAAAAAAAAAAGTTCAAATTTCATCATGACTAGACGTTTCATGGTCCCTGGAGTCAAAATAACCATACTTGAAAAAATATGTGTCCGTCCGTCCGGTGTCTACCAAATCTGTGTACAGCCATATCTCATATATCCCCATATGTCGGCGCTTGCGCTGCGCATAAATTGGCCGGGGGCCAATTTTTTTCTTAGAAATTCTAATTAAATGAAAATAGCCTTAGGATCTCTGATACTGTTTCTTCAACCTGTCCACCCTTCATTCCTGATTTTGTTGTAATTTTTAACCTTGTAATTTTTCACTTCAAATTAATCATCGGAATAGTACTGCACAAATTCAGTGACAAAGCAAATATGCACTGCAACCTAACCTTAAACTGCAGCAAAATTCTGTTTCAAGCCCTTATCTTGATCATTTACTCTCTTCTTTTTCTGTAGTTGTGCCATTCTAGGTGGTTTTTTTTCAACTTGTACATATATTTTTCAGGTGGGGGCGCCCTTGGACCGTTAGCTTATCAACCCATCCCATTTAGTAAAGCTGGAAACCCCATTATGTCCACCGTAGCTTTTCTAGCCTCTGTTGTTGATCCTCGAGTCGCCTCTGCAGCCGCCAAAGCTGCGATGGAAGAATTTGCGAACATAAAGGTCCGTATTTATTTCATCAAGCTGGTTTTGTAATTTTCATGAGTATCTCTCATACAAAAGACCACACTTTTCTTTTATTTTTTTCTGCCATATTGAAAAAGCACTCTCGAGAAAAAATTACGAAAAAAACAAAATTTCCAAGCTAAGTGCAAGGAAAGAAAACAGAATTATAGAACTTAGGCTTCCGAATTCTCGAGGACTCAAAGAGAGAACTTAAAGGTGGATTACAACGTTTCTACTCAAACTCTTGAGTTTTTCATTTCAGTTGGCCACTCAGAACTCATGTAATTTTAATGAATCTATTCCACAAATAGAAATACTTGAAGAATTTGGAGTAAGTTTTGAATCACTTTTGCCTTATGTCTCCTTAGGATGAAGTCCCTGCTGCTCTGATGGATGCCCACATTAAAAATGTTGAAGCTTCAACTCGAGATGGGAAATTCGATCCGGCTGCTGGTCTCGTTCAGGTATCATAGTTTCTAATAAATTTTAATTTTGTTCATACGTTTTGAATCAGTCTCATTTGATCCTACATATTAAATTGATCCTGTGAGTTTTTGGGCTACAGAGGCTCTCTTAAGGCTCTCTAAATTGTGGCCTATTAGAACTTACGAAGAGAAACCCAAAAAAAAAACGAAATTTTGCTGTAACTTGCCAACAACGGAAAATATTCGGGTCCCACTGCTAGGAGGTGTAACTAAGAGCTTTGAAGAGTCACAAGGCCAAATTTCAACGCCGTAGCACATTTTTTACTTTCTCGCTACTCCAGGTTTTATTTTGGCGAGACTTGGTTTAAGGGGTTGTCTAACAAGTTTGTAGTTTTTGAAGATGGGTCATTCTCGGTAACAACACTTAGGGCTCAAGTTTTTCTCTCTTACTTGATAAAAACAAGACTTTCTCTGTTAATCTTTTGAAGTGCTGCTTCTGGAGGACAAGCTTCATCAAAAACTTTAGTGTAAGCACTGTTTTTTGCTTTCAAAATGGTGCTGTATCGCTTGAAACCCCTGTATGGCTCCGAACCGCCATCGCCATTTGATAGATCCGATGCAATTAATGAAAAAAATTGCATTTTTGTGAATGAGGGTGGTTATAGATCATTTAACTAACTAGCAGATATCACTTGAATGTAATGCAGAAATATTCAAAACATTGCTGTGAAAAATTTGGGCCTACAACACGTTGTTGCCGCATGGATCCCCCTTTTAGCGTTCCAGCTGAAGTTTAAACAATAAATCACACTCCAGATCGAAGAAAAACATTCAATCACTCATGTCATGAGTGAATCATGTTCCATGCAAGATTCACACTGAAAATTGACAGAGTTAGCTGCACTTTGCCCGTGAAAATCACCCATCTTCAAAAACGACTAACTCGCCAGACAACCCTTTAAACCAAGTCTTGCCAAAATAAAAGGAAATGTACTACAACGTTGAAATTTGACCTAGTGACTCATCATAGCTTCTAGTTACACCACCTATCAGTAGAACCCGGATATTTTCCACCGTTACCAAGTTACAGCAAAATTCCGGTTCTTTTTGGGTTCCTCCTCAAATATACCAGACAGAATAAAGACAGAATGACTGTTTATGGATAGGTGAACATCGTTGGCAATGCAAAACCAGCTAAAAAACAAAGCCATGAAATTCCATTCCCTCAACTTTAGCAAGTTTGTACAGCAAATGTATGGAAAAAAAGGAAAATGCTGATTTAACAATTTCGTAGTCAAAAAAAGTGTCCAACATGTTTCAATGTAGATTTTACAATAAAAAAATGCTAGTTTAACCTCCCCTGTGGTTAAATTAACTTTCCGCTATTGTAGAATATACATGTGGAATATGTCGGACAAATTTTTTTAACAATTTAATTGTTCTATCAGCAATCCATTTTTTTCCGTGTAAAGTGCAAAAAAGTGGTTTTGCAGCTGGCTTGTGCTTGAGAAAGAGTGGCTGTGTGCTATCAAGAAATGATTGAATATACGAGGGATTGTGAAAAAAGGTGGTCAGTCACTTGAAAAAAGAATTGAATTTAAACTTCCTATGAAGTCAAATCATCCATAATTGTATAAAATGTATGATTTGGGTATGGGTGCTCATTTGTCAGTTCATGTTGAAGTAGTGAGAATAGCTTTAAGGTGTTTGACTCCAGCCTCATGTTCTTGAAACTAAAGGCCTCTGGGGCTCCACCACCTGTTGTTATTATCTTTTTTCCATCTAAATTTGTTCGTCCTGCTTTAGCTCCCAAATAAAAATGCATGGCAATTTTCATGTCGAAAAGTAAGGGAATTGCTTATGAAGGGTCAGGAGAAAGGGAGGAAATTTTAAGACAAAAACATTTTTATTGTAAGGCAAAGTCAAAGAATTTCCTATCAAGGGTCAAGGGATTTCCTATGAACAGTTCAGAAATATCTCGGAATTTCAAGATCCAAAAATTTTTGTTGCGTTGAAAGGTCAGGAAATTTGCTTTTAAGATCAGGGAAAAGTTAAGAATTGTTGAAAAATTTCAAGAACCAAAAATGTTGATTCCTCTGGATGCCCAACATTACCGCAATGATTCCCGAAATTCTCTCAGTTTGTGGGCTGTGTAGAGCTCACTCCACCTAGTTTTGGCCTATATCAATCTCCTAATTTCCATTTACCCAATTCATTTGTGCCTTGATGCTATGAATCTTTGAACCATTGATTTTTTGGTCTTTATTTAAGGTTTTTCTATCAATTTCTTATTTTTTAGAGTGGCATAGCTGGAACTGCCCCAGAAAAGGAAGAAGAAGAGGACAAGGAGAAGAAGGAAGCAAAAGAAAAAGAAACAAATGGAGAAAAGGAACCAGAAAAACCTGCAGCTGATGGGGAAGTGAAAGAAATCAAAAAGGAAGAAGAAGAAAAGAAAGAAGCCTCGACAGGAGAGGGAGTCGCAGAAACAGATGGAAACAAAGATGTTGAGATGAAAGATGCCTCTGACAAGAAGGAAACATCCAAAGAAGAGACAGAGCAGGACAGAGTTATCAAAGATGCACAGTTACAATCGGCTGCATCAGCAGCACTCGCTGCTGCAGCTGTGAAAGCTAAACACCTAGCAGCTGTTGAAGAACGGAAGATTAAATCTTTGGTAGCTTTACTCGTAGAAACGCAAATGAAAAAGTTAGAAATTAAGTTAAGGCACTTTGAAGAGCTTGAGACTACAATGGAGCGAGAAAGAGAAGGTCTGGAGTATCAGCGTCAACAATTGATTACGGAAAGGCAACAGTTTCATTTAGAGCAGTTGAAAGCAGCGGAATTCCGTGCAAGGCAGCAGGCTCATCAACGCCTTGCAGCTGAACAGCAGCAACAAACACCATCAACAACCCCGACTCCATTATCACCTCAGGCTGTTGCTACGCCGCAGCCCCCAGCAACACCTATGGCCACGTAAAGTGAGCTAGATTTTAATGTAAAATTGGTCATGGCATAGCTTCTCCAGTCGATTGTTGGTTGTACTTAGCTTGACGATGAACCAATGCAAAAATTTCATTTTCAAAAGCATACCTCACAACAGGGAATAAAAAAATAAACAATGCAGCAAATAAGCAGGTAGAAACAAACTTTGGGATCCACTATCTGCAAGTTTTGTATTTTTTTTAGTTGTAGCCACATGTCTGCCGGAAAAATTTCTAGATTTCAAAATCGGTGATATTTTTGGATGCAAGAGAAGTTACAATATTTCCAACTTTAATAACTAACTCGGTTTACTTTTTCTTTACTCTCCTATCGCCCAAAAAATGAGTGCATACAAGCAATACAATTTACTGGGTACCCTGGACATTTAAATGTTGCAAAAATCTGCCAATTACCAACGTTCCCTCTCCCAGTTAAGCTTTATCTTTGACGAGCAATCTCTTTTGAATTCCTCTAGCCCTCAGTTTCTGAGATTTGTATCTCAAGACTCGTTGAATTGGCAATATTTGTCAGATGTATATCCCTATACCTTTTTTCCCTTCCAAAAAAGTTATTCTTTTGTACATTATTCCTTTCTGTGTACAGATATTATGTTTGTTTTTGAGTTCAATAAATGTGCAAAAATGACGGCTAACATTGTGTCAATCAAGGCCGGCATCTTTGGTGATTTTTTTTCTATTTTTCCTATGCTAAACAAAAACTCTGATGAAATGAGGATGTTTCATTATTTTTTTGGTTCAACAGCGTTACATCCTATGTATCTGCAAACAGAATATTAAAACTCTATCACAAATGTCACTGTTGCAGCTCATAGATCTAGTTTACTTTTTCAAGTCAGATTTTAAAATTGATTTTTTAGTTATTTGAACTAATTTAAATTTTCTGCCGATTGGCTTTGCAAAATCTATTTTAATTTATCAATAGCCCTAAAAAGGTATGTTTTTGGCTTGTCTAACTCCATGAAAGCAATGGTACTTTTATTTTATATTTACTCAAAAAGCTGTAAGCATCTGTTTTTGAGTTGTGTAACTTAGTCCTTCATCAACAATGTGTTAAATCTGCATGAATCTTAGCAATTATTGTCCTTGATAATAGTACAGCAGTGTCCATGTAAATTATTAATCATGAACATTTTCTCTTTTTTCTGAAGGATGTAACTAATGACAGTACTCTTATTCATTTTTATCGTGAAAAAATGCTACAATAATTACATTTTGTACATAGATCTAAATGTATTTTTTTCTTATCAAAATAAATGACTTTGTACATACTCACTCAGATCTCGGTCTAGTTATTTTTAACTTTTTCTCCTTTTCTCATAGTTTCAAGTACATTTCGTGAAAATTCCATAAATGAACATGGCCAAGCATTTATGCATCTTGTTTGCATTTCCCTGACATGTAATTACCTGAATAATTTGAACAAATGCATTACCTGAAGAGTTTTCTTGGTGAAGGACGTATTTATGAGACTTTGTATACTGTTAAAAACGCATTTGAAGTTTTCATTTCAATTCTGCTGATTGTCATGTCGCAACGAAAGTCCCGCCGGGCGATTTTCTTTCTCTCTCGCGCTAATACGCGAGACACCTGGCTACATTCTATCTCTCTCGCACACTTAAGCGAGCTGCCTGGCTGTTTTCTGTCTCTCTCTCGCACACCCAGGCGTCCCTGCCCTCCAGGCGATTTTCTATCTCTCTCGCACACTTAAACGAGCTGCCTGGTTGTCTTCTGTCTCGCTCGCACACCCAACCGTCCCTGCCCTCCAGGCGATTTTCTATCTCTCTCCCACACTTAAGCGTCCCGCCAAGATGGTGCAACCGCTCTCAGAGGGTCGCGGGGAAACGCCATGCGCCTTTTCCGCAAAAACAACGCAAGTCCCACCGGGCGATTTTCTTTCACTCTCGAACTTATACGCGAGACGCTTGGCTATTTTCTATCTCTCTCGCACACTTAAGCGAGCTGCCTGGCTATTTTCCTGTCTCTCTCGCACACCCAAGCGTCCCTGTCCTCCAGGCGATTTTCTATCTCTCCCGCACACTTAAGCGTCCCGCGAAAAGGGTGCAACCGCTCTCAGAGGGTCGCGTGGAACGCCATGCGCCTCTGCCGCAAAAACAACGCAAGTCCCGCCGGGCGATTTTCTTTCTCTCTCGCACTCATACGCGAGACGCTTTCTGTCTCTCCCGCAAACAAACGCCTCGTGCAAGGCGATTTTCTATCTCTCTCGCACTTGTACGCTTCCTACATGGGCGATTTTCTGTCTCTCTCGCGCACTTTAGCGAGACGCTGGCTATATTCTGTCTCTCTCGCACACTTTAGCGAGACGCCTGGCTATTTTCTGTATCTCTCGCACACAATCGCGTCGTGCAAGGCGATTTTCTATCTCTCTCGCACTTATACG